ATCATTCTGCTTACTGTTACTTCGGAACTCGATGCTAACGCAGCTAAAGCATCTGCAGCTGAATTCTCGCCTCGTGGAATCCTTGTGAGTTCGAAACTTTGAAACTTCTCACTCAGATGTTGAACTTGAGCTAGGTAAGCCTCCATTCTACTATCCTTAGCTTCATAGTCACCAGAAAATTGATTAGCAACGAGCTGCGAGTCACAGAATATCCGTAGTTTCGTGATACCTATCCCAATCGCTAGGCGAAGTCCTGCAAGGAGAGACTCATACTCCGCCTCGTTGTTTGACGCATTAAACGCGAGACGAAATGACTGTTCAATTACTTCACCATATGGAGATTGTAACCGGATACCGATCCCGGAACCTTGTTTTGAAGATGCTCCGTCCACATGAAGTATCCAAGGTCCTTCGTTTTCTTTGTCTTCCATGGAAACCAGAGGTAGTTCGATCAGAAAATCTGCGAGGACTTGAGATTTCAAGCTTGTCCTTGTTCGGAACTGAATATCATACTCGCTTAACTCGATTGCCCATTTGACCAATCTTCCCGACTGACTCGGACTATGCAAAATTGCCCTTAAAGGTTGCGTAGTTAGGATAATAACCGTATGAGATTGAAAATACGGTCTTAATTTCCGCGCCGAAGTAATTACTGCCAGGGCTAACTTTTCCATCATCGGATACCTCGACTCCGCCCCTGAAAAAGACTTGCTTACATAGAAAATCGGTCTTTCGTCGTTCCGATCCAACCGTACTAACACTCCGCTTACTGCGCTGTCAGACACTGATACGTACAAGAAAAGCTCTTCTCCGAACTCGGGCTTCGCTAACACAGGAGGTCTGGACAAGTAATCTTTCAAATCTTTGAAAGCCTTTTCGCAATTCTCATCCCAGATGAAATTCTTGTTCGCTTTTCTGAGCAGATTATAGAATGGAAGGCATCTATCGGTTGACCTCGAGATGAAACGGTTCAAAGCTGCTACCCGCCCCGTGAGTCGCTGAACTTCTCGGATATTGCGAGGTGAAGACATCGCCAGAAAAGCGTTCAGTTGTCGCGGATTAGCTTCGATTCCTCGCTCCGTGACGATATAACCCAAAAACTCTCCCGACGGAACTGCGAAAGTACACTTGGTCGGGTTCAGTTTCATTCCGAACTCATTCAGAATTGCGAAGCACTGTTCTAGATGTTCGATATGCGAAGTACTTGACACTGACTTCACCAACATATCATCAATATATACTTCCATCGTTTTACCGAGGAGATCTTTGAACATCATATTCACCAACCGTTGATAAGTGGCTCCGGCATTTTTCAATCCGAAGGGCATGACTATATAACAGTAAGTTCCGCGGTCCGTGATGAAAGCTGTTTTTTCCTGATCTTCCGGATTCATCAAAATCTGATTATACCCGGAAAAAGCATCCATAAAAGACATCATTTCGTGACCCGTAGTTGACTCCACAAGTCGATCGATGTGCGGAAGTGGGAAACTATCTTTGGGACAAGCTTTGTTAAGATCGGTGAAATCCACACAAACTCGCCATTTCCCATTTTTCTTTTTTACTACAACGGGGTTTGCCAACCAGTCCGGGTATTTGACTTCGCGAATTAAACCCGCATCAAGCAAACGCTGCACTTCGGTGTTAACAGCTTCGGCTCGATCCGGACCGAGTTTCCTGCGCTTTTGTTTAACCGGTTTGAAAGTCGGATCGATGTTGAGCTCGTGTGAGATTACCTTTGTATCAATCCCAGTCATCTCCTCAATCTTCCAAGCGAAAGTTTTTTTTATTCCTTTTCAAGAATTTGACCAGTTCGACTCGGAGTGTTTCACTTAATCCAGATCCTATGTTCACAGTTTGGTCCGGATATTCCTCATTAATTACCACTGCTTCCACGAGGTCACTGCTGATTTTTTTGACTGGATTCGCAGGTACCTCGAGCTGTGGTTGCTATTGAATCTTCAGCTTGTGACTAGACATGTAACACATCCTCGCAGCTCGCTGACTTCCTAGGATTTGTTTTACTCCGGACGTAGTTGGGAACTTTAAGCATTGATGATACGTCGAGGGTACAGCTTTCATTTCATAGAGCCAAGGCGTCCCTAAGATAACATTGTAAGCCGCAGGACGATCGAACACAGTGAACTCGACCATTTTGACTATCCCTTCGGCAGATACCGGGAGCACAATTGTTCCCACTGACATTGAAGTTTCACTGGTAAAGGAAACCAAAGGAGATGGTGGCCCCTTTATACTTTGCTTTGATATCCCCATTCTTGTCAGGGTATCAAGGAAGATTAAATCCACCGAACTCCCAGTATCAATGAGAACTCGTGATACTTCGCAATGCGCAATATCAAGTGTTATGACCAGAGCATCATCATGCGGTTTGTCAAGTTGACTCGTTTCGGTTTCTGAGAAGGTTATTTCGGGTAACTGCTCCTCAATGACTCTCGCTTTCTTGAGTACTGGGGAGTTCGCTCTTCGTTCGTGTTGCTTGATCGCACTAATGGAGTCTCGAAAAAGCTTGGATCCTCCCATAATCACCTGGATTTGCTTTTTTGGTCCTTTAGGAATATCCGGAGATTGGATCCTCTTCGATTTCTTATTAGGGGGAGAGGAAACCTCTGGCTCGACTGTTTGCTCTGACGGATGAGCTGACTCGAGTTCCGAAACATCAATTTCAGATATTTCACCAGATGCGAACTTAGCAGCCAGCAGTCTTCCTAAAGCTTTGCAATCTTTCGTAGCATGTCCATTAACTTTGTGGATTTCGCAGTAGGCGTTTGGATCACGGATCCACTTGTTACTCGGGAATGCACCATTTTTGTTCTTGGGCGAGAAGGATTGCTTCGCAGGTGAATTCTTCGGAGAATTTTTCGGCTCTTCCCGGTCTACTGAAAATGTTCCCGCTCCGGGTTTGCGAGCTTCGGCTTGAACAGGTTTCTTCTGCGGAGGAAGCTGAGCGGGCTTCGGGGCAGCTTTAAACTTTTTGGCTAGAGCAGCTCGCTCTTCCTCCGCGTTTATCCAGTTCGTTGCCCGATGAAGAGCGTCCTGAATAGTGGCTGGTCGGTTAACAGTCAATTCTTCTCGGAAACGAGATTCATGCCAGAGACCGTTCTTGAGTGCAGCAATAGCTGCGGAATCAGACAGATTTGGGATCTGAACCATAATTTCTTTAAAGGACGTGATGTAAGTCCGGAGTGGCTCTCCAGCTCCTTGCGAGAGGTTCCATAACTGTGCGTCAGTTACATCGCTCTTGATGAAGTATCCGTACTGCATAATGAAAGCAGTGGATAGCTGCTTGAAGCTATCGATAGATCCCTCTTCTAATTGAGTGAACCAGGTCAAAGCCGGCCCGGACAGGTTCTCAGCGAAGAGTTTGCATAAACCCGCGTCCACTTCATTTGGCTCCAGGTGTACGCGCCCTGCGGTAACCTGAAAAGATGTTAAAAATTCTTTGGGGTCTCCCTTACCGTTGTACCCCGGAAGTTTGACCTTCCTTTGATCTTGAATTCGCAGGGCAGCAATCCGTGGAGTAAAAGGAGTCCTTCTTGTCTCCTCGATCACTCTATCGACTTCGGGAGCCGAGCTGGTGGCTTGATGAACCTTCGAATTCATTTCCCGGATCTGATTCTGCAGGTTCTGGATTTCCGGGCTGACAGGGAGTCGAGGTAGATTGAATCCGGTTTGGGGGAGACGCGGGGTACTCTCCGGATGGACAGGAAAAGGTGTTCTGACCGGAGCGAATGAATCGCTGGCTGGATTTTGAGGTGCTTGTGGAAAACTGGATCCTCCTCCAGGCTCGCTTTGAGAACCCAGAGGTAACGAAACCGGGAGCGCACTGCTAGGGGTGACCAGTCTAGGATCTTGAGCTTCCGAAGTGTTTGGATTGTGAAAATCCAGATGTCCGCGAGGTCCGCTGGTTCGCAAGGTTCCTGCAAGAATAGTATCAACCCGATCGGCATAAGCATTGTGGGCTGACCTGATTTCGGAACAACTTGCCGTGAGGACTGCGATTTGACTGGTGCTTTGTTCTTCGAATGCTGAAAACTTCTCAGACAAAGTAGTGGTCGCGAGTTGTTGCTGGTCGGTCTTTTCGGAGAGATCTTTCAGCATTTTCTTGATCTCGTCGAGGGCTGAAGCTGAATCCGTCACGTCTGACATCTTCTCGACTGGTTAATCTGGAGTAAAAGACTAGAATTCCCCTCCTTCTAGCGCCAAATTGTGGATGTCGGAATCCGCAATACAAATTTTAAGATGTGTACCGGGTCGTCTAGCCTTGATAATTCGAATAACAATCGAGAGAAAGAAAACAAAAGAGTGAAATGTATGTATCTGTATATTGCTCAAGAATTCCGTCCCCCATACAATGGTTTTTGTGTCCTATTTATAGTTACATAATCCGAAACCGAAGTCGCCAATCAAGCCTCCAATTTCGCCTTCATTATTGCTTACGTTACGAATCTCCTTGATCTCGCAGATTCCGTGTGACCCGCCTTTCAATTAAACGTCGAGATCCTGACGTTTTATTCGACCTGGGCCGGAGCCTACTGGGCCGTTCTGGACCGAACTAGTGGCCCACGATCTTCTGTCTTTCTGGGCCGGATCCGAATTGCGGGATCCGACACCAACAGGGTATATTAAAAAAATGAGAAAATAAGAAAAGTCAAGGCGGACTTTGACGACAAATTGCTAATCCTCTCGATAGATGATGATAATAAGCCTAATTAAAATAAACGTTACATCGTAATCAATTGCTTCAATCTCATTCTCATCTCATGTCATCCTTAGCCGCGGTTAGCCGACCATACTAATGTATACATGCATATTTGTAATAATTAAGAAGAAAAATAAAGAATGTTTCACCGTCCAAAAAAACAGAAGAGGGCATGGTCCGGTCCTGAGACGGGATGAGATATTTTGCTTAGTGGTATATGTCAACATCTTAGTTAATACCCACCGGTTCTAATATAAAAGGGAGAAAATATTTCATAACCAACCACACAACAAATCTCTCTGTTTCTCCCGCTCTTGCTCTGTTTTCTCAAAGACGTAGTTGATTCCTCTTCTCTTCCACATCCCAAATCTCCTTGTTACCTTAAAAGAATAGTGAGGATCATCTATGGCTACTGCTAAGAACAAGGGAAAATCCATCAGGAGCCTTGGTACAAATGAAACAGAGAAAATGGATGAGATGGAGTTGGAGGAGGAGGAGTTCCAGTTTAGTAGCGGCAAGTATAAAGATTCGGGTTCTGGCTCGGACATGTGGTTAGGAGAAGCTTCCTCTACGTCCCAAAGAAGTCTTAGGAAGACTAGGACCTTTGACCGACATAATCCTTATCTCCTATCTTCTTATTCTACTCCTCAGCCGCCACCAACAACTACATGCTCTGTCTCTTCTTCGAGTGTCGCTTTTCCCTTTTCCCTCGCTCCAGCGATTCAAAATCAACAACGATTTTTACACCCGAATAACCCTTCAGGACAAAGACAGCAACAAATGATCTCGTTTGGTCCTCAACTACAGGTGCAGCCATATTTAGTACAACAACAGCAACATCAACAACAACAACATATGTTGCAGTACTGGAGAGACATATTGAAGCTGAGCCCGAGCGGAAGAATGATGATGATGAACATGTTGAGACAAGAAAGTGATCTGCCACTGACGAGGCCGCCCATTCAACCATTCAGTGCCACCAAGCTATATAGAGGGGTAAGACAACGCCACTGGGGAAAATGGGTTGCTGAGATCCGTAAGCCACGAAACAGGACACGTCTCTGGCTAGGGACATTCGATACAGCAGAGGAAGCCGCCATGGCTTACGACCGCGAGGCCTTCAAGTTGAGGGGTGAGACCGCCAGGCTCAATTTTCCCGAGCTTTTTCTCAATAAACAAGAGTCAACTCCGGTGCATCAGAAACAATGCGAGACGGCGACTACTAGTGAAGAGGCAAGCGGAAGAAGAGAAGATGATTCAAGCGCGGCATTGGCAGTGGGAAAGGTGAGTGAGGAGACAGGTTGGGCTGAGGCATGGTTCAATGCAATTCCAGAGGAATGGGGACCTGGAAGCCCTCTATGGGATGATTACCACTTTCCCATTTCTAACCACAAGGACGATCATGACGCCACACAAAACTCTTCTTCTGATACAATTTAGAAGCTGTGCACTTTCACATGTTAGAATATATAGATGCTTAGTTGTATGACTGACTAGTTTTATGGTTTTGGGTGGAGACAGTTTTTGTCATCTCCCTCATTTCCCATATTTTAGATTCTATTGGCGACCATAGTTTTTTCTTTATAGGTGACTACGAATCTAATGGGGTCAATCATTTTCATATATGTAACATAAAGCATATGGTGTTTGTACTTCATCTTATTATTCTTACCATAGAAAGAGAGTGAGAAGATCAATAACCCATTAAGTATATATGTCTAATTCCGATGAATCTTCAGCATGAACAAACGAGTTTGTACAATTGAACATTATTTATGATTGTATGTGTTATCACTTATTTATTACTAGTTACTACCCACGGAATTTGACATGCTGCATTTATTTATGGGCTTTATTAAATGGACCGAGATCTAGCAAAATCCAAAGTAAATGGGCCTAGTCTTAACGTGGACACATAAGGGACACGTGTCGTACTACCGAGAGCTCGTGGAGTTGGATAAGCCACTCAAAAGTCGAAACTCAGAAGATCCAACCAAACCAGAGCCATCATCCTTCCAATGGCTATCACTTGAGATTTTTTTGATTAAGCAAAGCGAAAACCTCTCTCAAGTCTCCTCGTTCTCTCTTCGTCAAGTCTCAACAACAACTCTTCTTCTCCATCTTTCAATTTCTTCCTATTTCAATGGCTGCAACTGCAATCTCTTCCCTTTCCTTACCAGCGTTGGGTCAATCGGACAAGATCTCCAATTTCGCACCTTCTCGTCCTCTCGCCTCCACAATTCGCATCTGCACCAAGTCTTCTCGCCACTCTTTGACTTCGCGTTCCACTTCGAGATCTCTTATTCACTGCATGTCCACTGTTACCGGTGAATTCTCTATCCTCACTCTACTTGAGCTTCACATTCTCCTTTGTTTTATCTGCATTTTAGTCAGTTTTGCTCTTATTAGTCTCAATGAACTCTTTTCTGTGGTTGGTCAGATGTGCCTCCGGTATCAGAGACAAAGTCGAATTTCCTAAAAGCTTACAAGCGACCTATCCCGAGTATCTACAACACGGTTTTGCAGGAGCTCATTGTACAGCAGCATTTGATGAGGTATAAGAAGACTTATCGTTACGATCCTGTTTTTGCACTTGGCTTTGTCACTGTATATGATCAGCTCATGGAAGGATATCCGAGCGATCAAGATCGAGATGCCATTTTTAAAGCTTACATTGAAGCCTTGAATGAGGATCCTAAACAATACCGGTTAGCTTCCATCTTCTCCTTTGACATTATGTCTTCTTCTTGAGGATCCTAAACTTTTTTTTTTGCTTCATACAGAATTGATGCTCAGAAGATGGAGGAATGGGCAAGAAGTCAGACTTCTGCTTCACTAGTTGACTTTTCCTCTAGAGAAGGAGAAATTGAAGCACTTCTTAAGGACATTGCAGGAAGAGCTGGGAGTAAGGAGGGGTTTAGTTACAGTAGGTTCTTCGCCGTTGGGCTCTTTCGTTTGCTTGAGCTTGCAAGTGCTACTGATCCAACTGTCTTGGACAAGGTGATTCTATTCGTCTTCGCTTCGCTATCTAAAAATTAAAAGCTTAATCATGTGACATGTGGAAATATTTTGCATCAAACTTGTGTCTAGAGGAAGAAGGAATGTCACTAGTTTTTGTATCCATTATGTTCACTGGCAATGTGCAAGTGTGTTCTCTCTGACATCTCACATTTTTCCTAGTGGTAATTTTGATCTTTGTGTCTCATGGAACAGCTTTGTGCTTCCCTAAATATCAACAAGAAAAGCGTGGATCGGGACCTGGATGTGTATCGTAACCTGCTGTCAAAGCTTGTCCAAGCCAAGGAATTGCTTAGGGAGTATGTCGAGAGGTACTGATGTTGAATCCCTATCTATCTACATTAGGCACTGGTCTATTTGAGCATATACAGTGCTTGCTGCACGATTAAACTCTTTTATATAGAGCCTAACTTGATATTTTTACTTTTGGTTACTCAGGGAGAAGAAGAAGCAAGGGGAGAGAGCCGAATCCCAGAAGGCTAATGAAACAATCTCCAAGTGTCTTGGAGATACTCTATATAACCCATCTTTCTTGGTTGAATGGAAATAGTAAAAAATCAGTTGTGACTTTTTTTCTTTCTTTTTCTTAGCAACAACTATGCCCAAGATATATCTCATTTCTAAGAACATATCAGACGTGTATATGTTTGTTTTTCCTTCCGATTACATGAATTTACATAATGTTGATTCATGTGGTATTTTATACATTGATGAGGTTAGTGTTGTGCTGTTACTAGTATATGACAAGTTTGTTTGAGATTTAGGTGCTGCCTTAAGAGGAAATGTGACCAACCATGAACATTTGAATTCCTCCTCCTTGAAACCCTGCCTTTTTCATTACTGTGTTCTCCCTATAAAAAAGGTCAGATACAATGTTAAGGAGTTGCAACAGAGACTCACTTCTCAGTTAGAACATCTAAATTGCACTGTCCTGCTAGCTGCTGCAGTACATGCGCGTTAAACAGAAGGGAGAAATCGCGTTGCTATAAATCCAGATACATTATCTCGGCCATTGAGCGTGAACGCCAAAAAAAAGAAAAGAATAAAGATGGGTACCAATCTATGCCAGTCGCTGCTAACTGGTTCTTTATGAAAGTGGCAAAAAAAAAAAATTCGGAGACCGGAGTAAGAATGCATAGAATCAACAATGAAAATGGTTAATTGTCTAACTAAGTTGAGAAATATCAACCTCATCAGGAATCTTGAAGGTATCCGCAGCACCAAACTTTCTAAATTCCTCGCCTTCAGCCACTGATTCGTCTTCATTATCATCATACTCTTCTGCAGCATCATAATGGCGTGGTGTTGAAGGGTCAAACATACTTCTGGACCGGCAGTCATGAGTTGCAAGCATGTTCACTTGGCCAAGATGTGAAATCTCTACCATCACAGTTTCATCATCCAGTGGCAGTGGCTGTTTCCAGGGCTCCCCATCCATCCTCATGAATGTATGGTCGGTTGCACCTTTGTGAAATTCGAAGCGAATACGATTTGCCTAATCACAGAAGTTATCGTTTGTATGCACACAACCATCATATCTTTATGTGCGTGTGAACTTGTACAATTCTTACCTGGGCAAGTCGTGTCCCATGTCCATTTGGAGCGAGCAGAACAAGACCATGCCAAGCATTTCTAAACCCAACAACCTCAATGAGGCCATCATCTACAAACGGTGGAGTCAAGCCTCTCTGTTTGTGTCACAACAAAGAAACATGCATATTATTTTACCATGGCGAAGATAAATACAGAAGCTTATGTAGCACTCAGGCAATGTCAAGAGTTTGTAAAACCTACATCGCGTTGTTTCCTGGGATTTGGTGTGCCCCAAGGATTTAATCCTCCAGAGAAGCTGGGCAGATTCAGACATACAATGGACCTGATGCTGCAAGAGTAGAAACAAATGTCGGGATTGGAGTAGTTTTATATTCGAGCATGAACAGCGTATTGCAAGAAAGCAGGACATTGCTTTGTTACATTTGAGATGTAACCATATATAGTTAAAGGTCCCGCACAGAGAAAAATCCCAAGACTATCCAACATGTCCATCCTGGACTGTATCTAGTGATCCCTCAGGACCATCAACACTGGATGAATAAAAATTACCTATGTGGTATGTGGAGGTCTTGCCACTGGCCATTTCTAGTTGCAATCTTAACCTTGGCAAGCTGAGCTATATTCCTACAGGGGAAGCAAAGAGCTTTCCTTAACATTGTGATAGAGACCAAAATCATATATAAAAAGACTGGAAATGTAAGAAATGTGGACCACTTAACCGAGAATATAAAACCAGCATAAGATTACATGTTTCTATATTGATGTTGGACAGTATGTCAAATTTGACATTGTTTAGCACACAACGAGACCCAAGCAGCAAAATGAACATATGCTGAAAAGAATCATGGGCACCAAATTTCTAATTACTAACACTATAACAGTATACTAAAGACAAAATATAAGGCAGTAGTGATAATCATTCATGTCCAAGAATCTCAGAAACAGAAAAACAGTGAATGAGAATGAGAAGTTGGGGGGACTGAAACTCAGAAACAGAAAAACAGTGAAACGAAAAGTATGTCTACATCTTACACACCGTGAAGCAGGGTGGAAAAGAGAGGCACAAAACCATCCTTGCGTGCAACCAAGCTTTACATACGTACTCTGGAATTGTGAAGCCAATGCAAAGTATTTATTCTTTGTTAGTATAAATTTCAGTGAAGGAGGGGGTTAAAAGGAGAAGGTGTAATCTAAAAAGATCAAATTCAAAATGTACCTGATTAACCAGCTGATTTTTAAATTTCTCAGGGTGAAGCTTCCTCTCAGAATGAAACGCATAAGAAATCTGAGCATCCATTCCTGCATAAGCACAATAGATAGAAAGTTAGCTCATCAACCATCTCACAGTGAGATCACAACTCCTAAGGGGAAACCTAACTAGAGTGCTATTTTGCTTATGACTTGTGGGAAATCCAAAGTTAGATGGAAGCAAGAGGAGCAATAGTGGGAAAAAAATATCTCACCGAGGCTAAAGTAATTCCAGAACCCCCCTCGAAATGTGTGGCAGCCTTCCTGAAAACATGAAGGGATATAAAACAAAAAAAGAGAAAGAGACACAGCTATATAATAATGGCAGGAAGAAGGTTAATTACCTTGTTTAGTTCATCTGTTGGAGAAACACGGTGAAATGCATGTAGAGAATGTGGTAATTCAAGAGGAGCAACAGGATCACAAGAACCACCTTCTTTAGGAGTTTTCATCCTCATAAGTATGTGCCAACTTGAAACAGCAGATAGTCGTTATACACCAAAAGTAAAGACTAACAAAAACTGTGGAGACAGAGAGATAGATGTAACAATTACTTGTCAATCTTCATCTCTTTTGCCTTCAACACTTGATCCAAAAACAACTCCACTGCAGTCCTATCTGTTCCTGGATTTTTCTTTCCCTGTACAGAGAGATACTTATTATTATATATATATATAGTAAGAAAATAAAAACATAGGCAGATATGTAAAGTAACCCACCCATCCAAAAGCAAAGGGAAGGTTATTTCCTGTACCCAAAGGTACAGTGGCAATTGGAGGAGGATGTGATAATTTAAGGTCACATACAACTCCAAGGAGCCACCCAGCAGTGCCATCACCTCCTGCAACCTAACAATGATGATGGGGATGGAATTAGTACATGTTTCATTCATTTGAAAACAGAAAACAGTCTCTTTGATGATTACAATGATTTTTAATTTCTCCCGAATCTGACGAGCGAAATCATCATCTTTGAGCCTCTCGAGGTTAAGATAGATTCTGCGGAGCACTTTATCGGGAGTCTCTTGGTCGAGATCAAAGACCTGACTGTGATTGAGAAGAGATCGGTAGGTGAGAATGAGTTCGCCACCCAACTGACCACCGCTTTTGGAGTTGATGAAGACAAGGACGGGGCTCGCAGGGGGAGGAACAGCCTCCTCCTCCTCCTCCTCCGGCGACAGGACGTACGTAGGGATGTAGAACTCCTTGAGAAAATCTGATAAAGTATTGTATTTATCCATTATTGCGCAACAATTTGGTGGAAGAAGATGATGATGATCAAGAGAAAGGAATCGGGATCTGAGAAACTGAATTTTTGAAATTACTTTATATAATAATGATAAATAATATACTTGTCTTTCAATAAAAGAGATTCATCGAATAAAGGAGGATCGGTCCACACCTGCCAGATTCTTGGCGGCTACGGAGCAGTTGGCCCCTTTTTCTGACGCGGACTCAGTCATGCGCTGCATTTGCATTGTTTGATCCAAAATTATAGGGGCTTACTACTGTATTTAGTTTTACTTAAAAAACTTTTAAATTTACTAGGTGTTATTGAATTTTGTATTTCAATGGATTTGAATGTATTTTAAAATCAAGGTCATGAATGTTTGGCAGATTAGATCAATAAGTGTGAGGATCATTCGCAGATTGGACCTCTACTTTACGACATACTCCCTCCGTTTTCGAATAGTTGTCGTTTTAGAGAAATTTTTTTTGTTTTTAATTAGTTGTCGTTTTCAGTTTTCGATGCAAAATTTATTACTTTTTTATTTTTTATATTTATTTTATTATGCAACTTGATTTACTATTGGTTAAATTATGTTTAGGTAGATAATTAATGATATTTTTATATTGAAAAACTAACAACATTAATAGTTTCTTAATTTGTGTGCATATAGTTAAAACGACAACTATTCGAAAACGGAGGGAGTACGACATTGGATGGCAAAGCTCCCCCCCTCTCATCTTTAGATCATGTTAATCGGGAAAGAAACAGTGCAACAGACAAGATGGTCCAACAAGCCCTTTCTCTTAGTTCATTATATCATGGGTACTCTGTTCCTCCTCCTGTTTTGATCTCCTATTTGTATCAACCTTATACAATTTAATAAAAAGCTTCTCTTGTTAAAAAAAAAAATGTTTGGCAGATTTTAAGATTATGGGTCTCTAATTGGTAATCACGTTTAAACGAAGTGGTTAAAGAATTTATAGCGGTTGTAGATAATTCTGTTAAAGATAGCTAATGGAAAAGGCGGTATGGTAAATGAGAGCGGTTGAGAATTTAGTATAAATCATAAGCAATGATAAAAAAATAAAATTAATTTAGCTGAAAATACAAAAAAAAATATATGGAATAAATCATCATCTATTTCATGATATAAAATGTTAACATAGTTAAGTGAGAATTGTTATAAACTAGATCATCACTCGTACTGTAGTACGAGTTGAATTTTATTTAGTTCAAAATTTTATATATTATATATTTTAGAATAAAATTTTGATATTTTATAGTAGTAAGTGAAAAAATATTTTTTTTTGTAAGTACGTATATATAATATTACTATATTAGAATAGATATATTTTTCTTTTATACGATACTAAATTATGGATATTTTTCTTAAGATATTGAAAAGGAAAGTAATATTATTTTCGAAAATTAATATTGTTTGAACAATGAGTTAATTTATTTTAACAACCACAAAATGAGATTGCACATAATTCAGTTAGATCAAAAATCGAAATATCATAAATATGTCGTATCTAAAAC